AATAGATATCAATTTGATATGCTGTATCAATTATTGATTGGCATATTAAAGATCGGTTACCAAAATATATGAAATGAAGATTGATATCCAGGACCTGCAAAATTCAACTTTTCCTGATCTGAACTACCTATAGATGATACAAAAACTGTAATATCATTAACAACAATTTTAAAAGGAAAAAAAGATACATCCATCTGCAATTGTTTTGCCATCACTTTGTCATTAAAACCTAAAACATTTGGTCCAGAAAAATGTGTGTTTTCATTAAAATGTCTTTTCCAAGCTTCATTTACCACTTTGCTTGTAGTTGAGCATATTTCTGAATCCAAGTCTGATTCGCATATATAACCAGGCTTTAAATATTTTCTTTTGTGTTGTGAACTACTTTAATGATAAATTCTTTTCCATTTAACATGACTTGAATTCTCATGTTGATGTGTATTGGAAAGCATATTTGTTTATTTTGACTATTTTTTATATTTAGAAAATACCACCAATTTTCAGCAAAATGACCATAATGAAGATTATTGTCAATCTCACCAGTTTCTAAAAGTTGTCTTTTAAAATTTTGTGTAGACATGAGGATTTGTAAGTGTGGACACTGAGATTTGAAAATTTTTTAATTTTATTAATATTAATTAGCACCAAAAATTTATATTAAAATGATCGACATTTCTCTGATTTACTATATACTATATAGAATTTCACTGTTCAAAAGCAAAATATTTATAAAATAAAAAATTTTTTGACAAAAATAATTTTATTCAAGGACTTTGCAGTCAAATTGAAGTCACAAATTTGAATTGCTGTTGAGTCAGGAACAATTAAATAGCAGTTATCATAGTCTGACATTGGAATAAAAGAACAAACAGCATTCTATCCACTGATTAAAATTTGCGGATTTGGAAATTAACAAATTTTAAAGAATTTAAACGGTGAATGGTGGTCATAGAGAAGCAAAAAGTTTGATCATAAGAAATTAGAGGGTGATGATGATACAATCAATATATTATTATCTTATGGCTAATTTTCATATTCTTTAAAAAAGCTATATAATTCATTTTTATGTAAAGAATTTAAAAAAATTAACATTATTAATGTATAGTAAATTTACACAAAATATAAAAACAGATATCATTTGGCATTAATTATTTTTAAAAAAATTTATTGTAATTATTATTAATATTAATATTATATTATTAATTGAACGTATAATAAAATATATATAATGTATTTAAAAATAAAATAGAAAATTTGTTAATGTATTTTTTTTTAAATTAATTAATTAATTAATTGTATTGTTATTATTATAATAATAATAATAATATAAAATTATTATTGTTTATTACCCATTAGTAAATCTAATTACCATCACACTCAAATTATCCGTACTAAAGTTTTGAAGAGCATGTTCAATTAATTTAGCGCTGGCAACTTGTGGATCCAGAATATCTTTGACTAAATTAACAGCATCTTGATCGTTACATACATCCCATAACTTTTTTTATTAAACAAGGATGAAATAAATATTTACATACATAAAAAACCATTTTTCAAAAATACATCAATAAATTATTTTTTAATTTAAAAACTTACCCCGTCACAAGCTAATATCAAAAATGAATCTGATTCTGTAATATTGGTTTCTGTTGTGTATGGGCTGCCTATTACATATTCTTTCATCGAACTATCGCCCAGCGAACGCGTTACAGCCAATACACCTAAAATTTATATTTATATTTAAATAATCAAATAAATAAATAAAAAAAGATTTGTTATTGTGCAATTCGTACAAACCGTTTACACGATTATTCATAACAAATCCGCCGGCGTCTACGATTCTTTTTGCTTCTTGAGCATCGCTACCCTTGTGATCGTATGATAATCTAATTGCAGTGTTGTTACGACTAATTCACACAAATATTATCGATATCAATGTCAATTGATTGATTGATGTGGTTAGCTGCTTGGTATTATATTATTACTTTTTTTTATTTACCTTAAAACAGCTCGTGCATCACCTACATTCGCAGTATACAATACTCGCTATTTATTTAATTATTCCAAAAATTCAAAATTAATCATCATTACACAATGTTTATATATAAATTGTCATCTAATCCACATAATGAATAATAATACCTTTTGCTTCTTTTTTTTCCCGACATCGCCATTAGCTATTTCATTACCATTAACGACACTACTTTTATTTTTACTATCATTTATCATTTTTCCTTCATTTATTTCTTTTTCTCCTTTATTTTCTTCCTCCTCTTCTTCTATTCTCAAAAAAGCGGTTACTGCTGTACATCCTGAATGCTTTCCAGCTGTGTTTTGATTTAATTGCTTATCTACCTGCAGAAAAGCTTTATGAAAAACTTCTGGAATAGGAATGTTTGAATTTTTATCTAGGACTTCTTCAAACGTCTAATAAATATAATAATTGTTACATTGTTTAAATAAAATTAATTAATTGATAATTAATTAAACAATTCAAATATAAATATAAAACTATTCAAAATAGATTATTATAGAAAAAATTCTAAACTTCTAATTCCTAAATAATATTTATGTTCAGTAATAATAATAACTACACAATAACAATAAATACATTTATCATTTAATCATTTTTCCAGCCTTACATTAATTATACAAAATGGGCCTTAACAAAAAACCAACAATAAAATATAAAATGAAAGAAAACTGTGCAAAGAGAAGCTTGAAATGTTTGTATACAGATATTTGATCCATTGACTCACTCTCTCTCTTTATTATTATTATAATTATATAATGATAATGATGACGAATTGCAATTTGATTTACCTCGTGAAAATGATTTCCACACCATTCAGCTGCAGATTTTCCAGCGTGTCCGTCAAATATGGCATAGAATCCTTGACCCTCAACTCCCGCAAAATCATAAAAAAATGAATGAGAATCCTATAAGAAAGAATTAGCGAGGGAATAGCATATGATCATATTTAATTGAAATAATAATATGGATCCCTGCTTTATATATTTGTTTTTAATTATTCATAAACATTATTTGTTTTTTTTTTTTGAAATAAAGGATGATACAATGATAATGATGTAATATAATGATAAATAATAGATACAATATAATAATATGTTACATATACATCATATTAATATTTTTCCATCACACCTTTTAACCCACATATTTACACTATTATTAATTTTTTTTTTTGATTTAGATTAAAAATTTATCATTAAAAAAAATAGTAATCAAAGTGAAAGAAAAGGCTGGTGGTGATGATGATGATGCGGCATTTTTTCCATTATTTAAAGAGAGGAAAATTAATAATAATTAATTAAAATACCTCCATTGTTCTTCTACATCTTCTATTTCTATCTTCACTAACACCGATTTGAAAATGTGGGTATCCTGTTCTTTTATTTGACAGCGTTTCAGAAGAAGAAGACGAAGATCCGTTTAATATATCGCCTATATTAGAACTCTCGCTATCACTATGAAAAGAACTAAATGGTTGTTTTGTTCCTTTATCTTTGGGACTCAAGGGAGTCGGTGAAAGTGTAAATACTAGTTTATTATCAGTTGGAGAACTTTCAGTTGGGCTTTTTATATTCGGACTTGAACAATCACTGGAATCGTCTCGAGTCTCTACATTATTTTTGTTTTCTTTATTTTTGTTGCAGTTATTGTTTTCTTTATTGTTGTTAGTGTTGTTATTATTATCAGCAGCATTAGCATTAATGTGAGTATTATTATCGTTTGCTAGATCTTTATCAGAGCTATCCTTTTGATTTGCCAAAAGCTGCTCAGAATCGCCATTAGATGTTAAAGCAGCAGACATTATTTATTTAAAATTAAATTTTTTCCTTTATAGAGAATTTTTTTCAAAAAAATTAAAATTTATTATTAAATAAATTAATAAATTAAGTATGAATTTTGTAAAAATATTATTATAATAATAATGTGATTTTTTAATAATGGAAAAAAAAGGGTGGAAGAGAAAAAATTTTATTACTATCTGTTATTATTATAGAAAAAGAGAAGATAAATCTTAAAAATGTTTACGTAAAAATCCTCCTCTCATGCACAAACAATATGGTATTAAAATGCAATAGGAAAAATTCGTGTCACGGCTCGTCAAGTATTTTATGTAGGATAACGTTTGACGAATTAATGCTTTTATATAAATTAGGACCCCTGAATACGCCACACTTCTATAAAAAATGTATTTGAAATCTAATGACGACACGTTTTGATATGCGTACTGTTGTTACTGTGCACATGTAGAGTTTATATTAAATATACGGGCAGCACCAAAATGCCTTAAATTATGTAAATCTTATTATTATTAAATATTTAATCCGTGTACATATTAATATTGAGCTGATGCAGGGACACGGATTTGTAGTGTATCATAATAATAATAAAATTAAATCGGTGCGCAGTATGTTACATAATATTTTGATATGCTGCGCGTCGATTGAATTTTATATCCTTCTATATTTGTAACAAATATCGCAATTCTCGTGGAGCTTTCGAAATCACTCGATGCGCTGCACAAATGTTTGATCCAAATTATTTTGCTTGGCATTTTGAAAAGAAAAAATTTGCGTCAATATAGTTGTATTAAAGAGTCCGAAAATCCTTCCGATGAATTAATTGGTGAGATTGATATCGGATAAATATTCAAGATCCATTTCAAAACTTGCTCTAGAAATAACAATATTTAGATGGATCTTTCGATACGTATTATTATTATATTTTTAAAATTTTCATTTTTTTGTAATGTTTAAATTTAGCAAAAGTATTTCGTATATACTTCTCTTTATATAGCAATAGGACTAAAAATAGAAAATAGACAAGTCTTTTTAGTATTACTAACCTTTTGTACAAAAACTTCGGAAAAATTCGGGATAACAAAAGATCGTCGGTATTATTATTATTTTGATTTGTGGCGTTCGTCATATTCACTTTGCTACAAATTGATTTCTTTCAAATTTTAATTATGGAAGAAAAAATTAAAAGTGATATACCAACATTTAGTCAATCGTGGGTTAGTGGATGGAATTATCATTTTATTTTTAAATTTCTCGAGTAAAATTTTATAACAATATATGTGTGCGTATTTTTTTGAATTTTTAAATTTAGACCCCAACGCAACGTTTTAATGTTGCTGCATTCAGTGTTCAACTTGTACATGATTACGTTTGGTCAACTAAGGATGAAAAAGAATGGAAACAGAGATTTTTAATTAGTGTTTTTCAACATTTAGGAATTGAGGATAAAAAAGGTGGGAAATTTATACAACATATGCATTGTAATGTAATAAATGAAGTAAATCATGTAAACACAAACATCCCATTTATCTACTCTTTAACAAATCAAAATAGAACAAAAAGTGCTTTTAAGGATGCCAATCGACAACAAAGATGACTCTGAAGTTGTTAACATACTTTTTAAAGTTTTTAAAGAATCATTAGTAAGCGATAAAGATATACGAGAGGAGATTATTTCTGATTTTTTATTTATAAGTTTGGGTTTAACTCGAAATATTTGTGATGGTGACGATGAATCTGAAAAACCACCACCACCTAACAATCATATACATAATCATTTTAATAGTCTTAAAGAAAACATTAATTTAAAACTGGGCAACATAATTTCAAATATAAAGCAAGATGACGATAACATTTCAACCACATCAACCGACTCGTCGGACTCTTTATCTTTATCATCTTTACAACCTATGGACAAACCAGCAGAGTATGATGCTCGTGCCAGAGCTATTGTTTTCAAACTTGGACATTATTTAGACATTCCAATGTCAAAACTTTGGGCATTAGAAAAAATCATGGCTCAAGATTTATATTTTCTTCACGAGCAAATTAACAAAATAAAAGAAGAAGATGATGATGATGATCAAAATATTCAAGAATTACACAACAGTGCAAATTCAAGTCTTAATAAACATGCTAAACGTAAAAATAAATTGCGTTGGTTTGCTACTGGAGTTGGTGTAGTTGTTGGTGCAACTGCTATAGGTTTAACAGGTGGTTTAGGTATGCACAATACAACATATTATAATATAATATAGGTTTTGATTATTTTACTTGAGGGGGGAAAACTAATTTAACAATGATTATTATATGTTGTCAAGTGAAGCTACACCTTTTGTGGCTGCTGGAATAAGCGCAATAACTGGTGCCGGAATCATAGCTGCCGCTGCATCCAATGTCGCTATAATGGCTTCATTGTTTGGTATCGCAGGCGGTGGTCTTGGAGGTTATAAAATGCATAAAAGAATGCAAGGCCTTAAGGCGTTATCTTTTATTAGAATAATTAAAGATGACACAATTCCTATAATACCATCTCTTCATGTTGGTATAAAATTTATTTTTGATGAGCGTACATACACGGACGGTCTTTTTAATTTATTTATTTTAAACTTTTCTGTCATTATATAGGTTAATATTGTAATATCTGGATATTTATTGGAAGATGTCGAAGAAACAACATCACCATGGATTCCCACTTTTCAAAATACATCAGAATATCGAGATACATTTGCATTAAGTTTTGATCCTGAGATCCTTTTGGGACTAGGGAAAGCATTCAGACAATTTTTGGCAGAATCAGCAGTCAGGGTTGCAGCAAATTCTGCAATACAACACACAGTTTTGGCAACACTTGCTACCGCATTATTCATACCAGCTGGTTTGATGAAAGCGTGTGATCTGATAGACAATCCGTGGGCGCTAGGTGTAGATCGTGCTCGTAAAGCTGGTTTGGTTTTAGCTGATATATTGATTGAGAGAGTTCAAGGAAAACGACCTACTGTATTGGTATATATATATATATATTTTTTTTTTTTGATTTATATATTCTTATTCTTATAATTTATTTTAAAGAAAAAGAATAATACTAATATTGATAATATTTTTTTTTTGTGTACTAACTACTAGGTTGGATATTCACTTGGTGCATTAGTAATATGGCATTGTTTACAACAATTGGTAAAACTTGAACAATATGGATTGGTTGACACTGTTGTTCTAATCGGTGCACCAATTGCATCGAAACCAATTCAAAAATGGAAAGATGCAACAACTGTTGTTGCTCGTAGATTTGTAAATGCATATGCAACAAATGATATAGTTCTTGGATTAATTTATAGAATGCATTCGTTAGATTTAGATGTTGCCGGGCTTGGACCAATAAATAATTGTCTTAGAATAGAAAATTATAATATTACCGAATTTACAAGTGGACACTTGGGTTATAAGGACCCAGTAACGTTAACAGAGATTTTAAAAAAAATTGATTTAAAAAATTGATATAGAATAATAACTTATTTTTTGATAAATATAGACTTAAAAATAATTCATTTAAAAACAATCAATTATAATTATAAAATTACAAAATAACAATTAACAAAAATTCATATTTCTTTTTCTAGTATGTGATAATATACACACATATATATAAAGTCTCAAGTTATTACAGTAGGTTTATCACGTCCAGTAAAGTCATGTAATTTTGAAATTTCCAAAGCAACATCAATCAAAGGTTTTAATGCAATTTGTGTATCATTTCCATATTCTGATTCATTTTGTGAATATTTTTCAACATATAATCTAATTGTAGCTCCATGACTTCCTGTTCCACTTAATCGAAAAATTATTCTTGAACCATCAGTAAAAACTATTCGAATTCCCTTTATTTTTTTAAAAATTACAAAATTAAAAAAAAATTGCCAAATTATAATCATCATATCATTATTTATGATAAAAATATATATTACTTGATGTTTAGATACACTTCCGTCAATTGGATCACGATATTCAAAATCGTCTGCTACTTTAACTGTGAATTGACCAAAAGTTTTTCCAATAAATTTATCACCACTAGCAATCAATTGTTGAAGATGATCAATCATTTTATTGGCACCATCACTATCAACCTCTTCATAATCATACCTAAACAAATCAATAATAAATTTGATAATCAATAATAATTTAAAAACAGAATTTGTAATTTATTATAGCATATTATTATCATAACCTAGAAAAAAAGTTTCGACCATAAGTTTGATAATGATCAAGAAGGATTTCTTTAATGCCTGCACCTTTATTCTTTTTATTAAATGCAGCAATTATGTTAAGCCATGCTAATAATATCAAATCATATGGCATTAATCAATCAATCGATAACCAAATAAATCATGAATCAAATAAATCATGAATCATAACATACCAATAACTGCCCATATACCATCTTTTTCTCGAATATGATCTGAACCTGTACCAAAACTTTCTTCACCGCAAATAGATAAACGACCAGCATCCATCAAATTACCAAAAAACTTCCAACCTACAATAATCAATCAATCCATCAACCATATTAGCAATAATACTAAAGCCTAAAAAATGTAAATCAACACCAAGGTTCAAATTCCAAATATTTCAATAAATAATAATTTTACCAGTGGGAACTTCAAAAATTTCAAGACCCTTTTTTTTAGCAACCAAATCCAAAGCAGCGCTTGTAGGCATGCTACGTGCTAAACCTTTAATTCCAGTTTTTTGAAAATACGGAATAGAATCTGCGTGAGCGGCAATGACAGCCACTGAGTCTGAGGGTGTGACGAAAGCATTCTTCCCATAAATCATGTTGCGATCACCGTCACCATCGGATGCTGCACCAAAATTAATGTTTTCTTTTTCCACACGTTCGACCAAACTATGTGCGTAGGTAAGATTTGGATCTGGATGACCACCACCAAAATCTGGTAATGGAGTATCGTTTTGAGTTGATGAACTTGGTAGCCCAAGTTCTTCCAAAAATATCTTTTTGCCATAAGGTCCGGTAACTAATTAAATTCAAAAATAAGATAGATAATTTAATAATTTAATAAATCAATCAATCAATCAATCAATCAATCAATCAATCAATCAATCAATCAATCAATCAATCAAAGATTAAATTTTAATAATATAACCTCCATGTAATCCATCAAAAAGTACTTTGAAATTAGGATTTTCAGCAAAAAACTGTTTAATCAAATCAAAATCAAAAATCTCTTTTAAAAGTTGTACATAAGATTCCACCGGGTCTATAATTTCAATTGAAAAATCATCAAAGGTTTTTTCTCCGATAGTTGAAATATCAACCTATATATATAAATAACCATCATCACCAATTTATTATTGATATTCATGTTCATTTTATTGAAATAAATGAAGTTTCCTTTACACACATACTTTTGGAATATCAGATTCCAAAATTCGACTAATGGATTTAGTTCGCTCATAAATTAAATTTGTTATATTTTCTGGTGCAGGTCCTCCATTGCTAACATTAAATTTTATACCAAAATCATTATCTGGACCTTTTTTTGTTTTTTTTTTGTTTTTTTTTTTTGAATTAAACAATCATTATGATTAAAGATAAAAATTAAAAGTAACAAGTTTTTCAAAAGAAGAATTATTACCTCCAGGGTTATGTGAAGCAGTCAAAAGGATGCCACCATCAGCTTTTCGTTTACGAATAATATTTGAACATGCAGGAGTGGATAAAATACCATTTTGTCCAATTATTAATTTCCCAACCTTTGTTTATTATTATTTTATTTTTTTATTTACAGTTTGAAATTAGCAAAAATAAAACATAATGGAATCATCAAAAATAAAAATTTATCAATTTATCATCACCTCATTACCAGCTGCTATTTTGATAATGATTTGAATTGCTTCTTCAGAGTAGTATCTACCATCACCACCAACAACTAAGGTGGAGCCTTTAGCTCCCGGTGAGGGCATTGCATCTAAAATTGCTTGAATAAAATTATGTGTATATTTTCCTTGTTGAAAAACTTTTGTACGCTTTCTTAAACCACTAGTTCCTGGTTTTTGAAGTTCATATACTGTTGTATCAATAGCTTTAATCTTACGAGTTGACGACATTTTCTAAAAAATAATTTTTTTAACTATTACTACTATATTTTCTATCCTATATTATATAAAAATTTCACGGGATTTTTTTTTTGTTTGATCTAACTATTGAATGATTTTATCAACAATAGATCGGCACCACTTTTTTCAGCATGGTGGAATTTTGTTTTTGATCGACATTCGAAATTATCACATTATATACACGATTTACAAAAATACAAAATAATTTAATTGTAACTTATAATTATATAATAAACTAAACAGTTTATTTTTTTAAAGATGCTTTGCAATCCTAATCAAGGTCCTTGCTCAGTTACTGGTCGTGAAAATTCGGGCCCTTACAGAAACTTAATAAAACTGTTTATACAAAATCAATTAATTCTGGAACTTTTTCTAATTTTGATTATTTGATAGTTAATGAATCACAGTTATGTTCTTCTCATTATTTGCAAGTATGTGAGCCTGCTAAGGGAAAAAAATGCATCGCTTTTGTAAACAAAAATATCAATGAACAAAATAATATTTTACCATTAAGAATATGTTGATTGATGTTTCATTGAATGATATATATTACTGATGATTCTATAACTATGTCTAATGATGATTTTGATTCATTAATAAACAAAATTTATCAAATGCAAAAACAAATTGAACAACAGAATGAAATAACATTAATTGAAGATGAGAAAGTGGAGCCTGAAATTGAAGAAGGTAATTGTATCCAAAATATAAAATTTATCAACTCCAAGAAAACTCGTTACTAATTACTATTTATCAAATAAAGTTGACAGATCATTCCCTATGCAAATTCAACGATTAACCAAAGTTATATATAAACAAAAACAAGAAAATGAAACAATGGAATTAAATCCAGAAAATTTTCAAAAATTGTTAACAGAACAAGATCCATTACTTGAAGGCTTTTTTGAAGAATTAACAAATGCATTGGTCCCTGAAAGACGTTCTACAACCAACCAAGAAGAAGCAAAAAAATCAATTGTTGGATTTTGTTATTTATTAGCTGGCCTTAGAAATAAATTTGCTAATTCTATTAAACTTGATATTGGTTTATATCTTGTATCATCTGGTACTAGTTCTATTGCAATAAATATTTTATCAAATGCTGGAATATGTGCAAACTATAAAACAATTTCCAATCATAAAAAAAAATTAGCAAACATTCACTCTGGATCCATAAATAATTATTATAAATTAAATGTATGTATTATATATAAAGTTGTCAATTATTCATATATGGGGCATACTGCAACAAAACCAGACAAAATGAACATTTGTATTACCATGAATTCTAATGTGATTATTATTATGTAAAAAAAAAAAAATTAAGTCCAAAGATTGAACTTGTGTACATTATTTATTATTATTATAAAACCTGACATAGTCCAACTTCACGTTAAGATTCTTATTTACTTGGCAAAAAATATGTCATTTTTATTTTTATTATTATTATTCAAGTGATTTGTGGATTAAATTGTGCATGCTGATCACAATAATTTTATTAGTTAATTTTGTTTACAAAAAAAAAAGCGATTTTCTGATTCAAAGTCGTAAACCTCATCCAAGGAAACTTGTCTGCATCTGAGGACATCCCTTATATTAAATACTTCGAATTCTTTCCCTATAAAAAATGGATGCTTCAACATTATGACCAATAAATATATAAAATAAAATATAAAATATAAAAGTCCAATATATAAATCTCCCTGTATCCGCACACAGCTCAGGGTTCTCAATACTCTATACCAGGCCTCTGTATCCGCACACAGCTCAGAGCCTACTCACAATTACTTTAATTATGGATAATTACAAGTGTGCTGAAAAAGATAGAGCTCATGATAAATTTTTTTATATTCTAAACATTATTAACAATGATTTATATGTATCAAAAGAAATCCGGAATGTGGTTCAGAAACTTATAAAAAGAAAAAAAGTAAGTATAATAAGGTATATATTTGGACAGATGGGGCTTTTGGCTAGGTTCTTGTGCCCTATTGGGTGTGTCCTAATAGGGGTAAAGGCTTATCCTCCATAAGTGCTGAATCAGATGCATTTACTGGGTGTGTCCTAGTGGACTTAATGGAATATACCAATATAAGTTTCTTTGATAAAGGTCTACTGATTCTGGAGAAGGAATTGATCATATACCTTCCTTTATAACATAATGGAGAACTTGGATTGTTGATGTATTCTTGCATTTATCCAACTTAATCTTAATTTTTCCTGATTATGCTTACTTGGAAATGTTTCTCACAAATTTTTTTTTTAATAAAGGATGACATCTATAAAGTCAAGGGAATATGGGATAATAGGAACAAGAAACGTAAAACTTTAAATGATGTGACAAATCTTGTGTCAACATAAAAAAAGCAGAATAGAACATCTACAGAAATGGATACCTTATCAATATTATCAGAAAAGGGAAAAACTGTGCAGTTACCAGGTAAATAAGATTCAGCTTCTTACATATTATTCAACAAATATCTTTGGAACAGTAGCTTTTATAGTATTTGTTTATTCAATTATACACTTTTATTTTTCAGAACTTCTCACTAAAGACTAGTGCCATAATCCAAAAAAGGAAAAAGTATGGTTGCAAAAGTGGTCGCAAAGGTAATTGTGACCACTTTTTATATGCCGTAAATACCATCATCATAATTTATGGCACTAGTCTTTACTTCTTACCCTGGAAAAGGCTTTATCACATATTCCGCCACCTATCAAATATCTCCCTGATGCTTCCAAATCAAAAACTAGTACAAAGTCGGACCATGACCCAGCAAAAGTATGTCTTTGGGATGGTTTTCTCAATGACGTAAACAATTATCACTTTGACGACCAATGGAAATTTAAAAAGCCAAAGTTTGCAGAACATAATCGGGCAAACATTGAAGAGGATGTTCGCAGTCTTTTTTGTATAATATTTGTGAGACATTAAGCAATCTTATGGGGTCAGATTATGAGTACACGAGGCGGAAATACTAAAACTCTTGGCATTCCTGGTTTCAATTGCCACCAAATTACAATCACAAAACAGGAAAGAGTTGTACATTAATATTTCCTATTGAAGTCAAGAGAAGACACATTTTGGGACCCATCTCTGATGATAATAACAACAAAGAAATTGATGATTGTAATGACAATGGCAAAAATCACAAACTAATGCTTTCAGAATTGTACTATCAGGACCAGTACATGAAGGATGTGATTAAGCAAATCTACTCTTACATGGTAGTAAATGAGTGCCAGTTTGGTGTAATTTCAACTTATAACAACAACTGGTTTATGTGTCAACCAAAGGATACACTATCAGTGCTTTATATTTCAAAAACTCTTCATGCATATTTAATTCTTGTAAAGTATAGTTATTAACAAATCATTTATAGTAGTGAGACTAAAAGATACAGAATAATTAATTTTGCTTTGCAAAAGGACTTTGGGTTTCTCTTTATAGTATACAACAAAAAATGAGCCATGCTTTCAATTATAATGATTATGTTTATTTTTGTCCAATATTTTTTAGAATTGTGCATAGGAGACTGAAATAAATCAAATAGCCAGCAAATAAAATAGTTAAATATAAATTATTGACAATAAAAATTAGCTACTCGCCTAGTTTTGCTTTGTCAAGTTCTGCACACACTTCATGATATACAGATTCTCATTGTTGAAATTCTATTTCAGAATAAAAAATATCATCATGCAAAGCATATGTTCTATTTTGACGTTTCTGAATATTTTTATTTGATGTTTTTTTGAGCTGACAATTGGTAATCAGGCGAACCCAAATATTCTGGATCATTATCAAATTTATATAAGCAATGATGGCACATTACTGCTGTCTATGATAATTTAAAATAATTGGCTAAGCATCCAGGTGCCTTCTTGAATGCATTTCCTTCTTCTTTTCGTGATGTAGAAAGAAAAATATTGTGAACAAGTGTTAGTTATTTTGATTTTTTTAATATTAACAATTAATTCATTATAATGCCTTCTACATAACATTTTTCCAACTAAGGACTAATGCCGCAAATGTTGATGGTGCACCCCTATAGAAAATTTGCATACGTAAATTCCATATGAATTACAATTTTTATTGCTATGAGAAATGATTATTATAAAAGATACCGGAAAAAATTGTAAAATATACTAATACAAAAATTCGCAATTTTCCATATTAGATAGATATCATAAAAAAACGTATCAAATTAACTGAAATTACGTATATTTGATCTATTACTATTACTATAGAAATTTATATACGGAAATTCCATAGGAAAGGAAACACAGATTAAATTAAAAAAAAAATTATATAATAACCAGGGGGTAAGTATTATATTATAAATTAACTTTTACAAAATAAACATCATCTAATTAAATTATTATTTTTTTTTTATTTCATAGATTGTAAGTAATATATTAGTGAACATTTGTATGAATTTCAGGGATCAATAATGTTTTCTTAACATCAAAACTATGCAATGCAATGTGATAATGATATTTGCCTAGACAAAATAGTTAATTACATCAGATATACTATGGAACCCAAAAATTACAGCACATTAGGAGTATTTTGAGGAAAGAACAAGGTAAAAAAACTTTAACACCCCAAGGTTAATGATTCTAATACTCCCGAGACTAATAATTCTAATGCCTCTAGAATCATCATTCCAACACCATCTAATCCAAGAACTAATCAAATATCACCTAATCCCAATCGTTGACGCAGGAATAGGAGAAACAGATATGGTCTCATCTTGCAATTTTCAATAATGGAAGACATTGTTTGAATTGTATGTCAATATACAGATAATCAAAAAAAAGTGACATCTAAGATTATTGATAAATATTTGCAGAAGCGAAATGTGTAACTGTATGTCTAATAAAAAACAATTGCATGCATTGTATAATCATTATATCAAAGTTATTTTCCAATAACAGTTTTATTTTTATTAAAAAAGTGCAAATAAATTTGTGACTAATAGTGGGAATGGATATTAATTTATAACTTTAATCCGACATTGTCACGAGCTAAAAATGTAAGACAACTAATTTTACTTGTCCAATTGAAATAGGTTGTCTGCATATGAAAGCCGTGATGGCCTCTGTTCAGATCTTGTTGTGTCAAAGGTGAATGAACATTATCAGGCCAGTAATGTAAATAACGTGAATTAGGCCTCAATATTCGTGTAACGCGTGTTTATAAAATGATAGAAATAGAAATAAATGTCTTCAATGAGAGATAAGAAAGCTGGTAAAGATATGCTAATCATGATAAATAACACATCTTATTGTTTGTTATGCAAAAAAATTTTGTATCATTATTTTCGTTACACTGTATATTAATTTTAAATCCTTATCAATTAATCCAAATTTCAAGGCAATCAAATAAGCTATTTTTTAAAAAAAACCCCATCAATAAAATAACAAAGTTAAATGTAAATTGTTTGTTACACGTCATTCCATGATATTCTCATAAAAAGAAACTTTATTCATTAAAATGCCAAGTCAAATTTTATACTTTATATTTTTATATAATGTCGTATGTTGAACTATTATCATTATTAACACCAGAAAGAGTAGAGGATGTATTGAAAATTTGTAGTGAAATGTATAATAATGCAATGGCTAATTCTGATAAAGAAAGTATAAAAGATTATTTTTTTTCATTAGTCAAAAAAAACGAGGGGCTTCATGAAAATGAAAAAGAATATTGTAAAGAAAGGATTATTTATGAGGTTGAATTAAGAAATGCAAGAAATAAAGAAGGAAAACCAAGAGAATGCAACAAGTGTAAATTGATAAAATATTCTGATAGATTCTGTGAAGGTTGTATTAGTTTACAATTACAGAATCTTTTCTGTGATTGGACATCTGGAAATGACATAATTGATAATTTTATTCAACAATGTCAAATAAAATCATCTTTGCCAGATTATATTTTAGAATGGATACCTTTTGAGCAATTTGAAGAAGTAACAGAGTTGACAAAAGGTGGATTTAGTTCAATTTTTACTGCTAGATGGGCAAGAGGAAGTATTGTTGATTATGATGAAAATAAAAAGGAGTTTAGTTATTGTGGATCGCAAAGAGTAGTATTAAAAAATTTAAATAACTCAAGTAATCCAGAAAGAGCATTTTTTGATGAGGTTGGTTAGTTGCTTATTTAAAACAAAATAAACAATACTGTATTATATTTAATTGATTTTATATTTATTTTCAGGCAATGAATTATTGTAAAATTAAATCAGAAATGATTGTTCAATGCTTTGGTATAACTAAATTCCCAGGTAGTGGAAATTATGCAATAATTTTAAATTATTTATCAGATGGAAATTTAAGGGATTATTTACGAAACAATCATTCAATTTTAACATTAAAAGATAGAATTACAATCTTTAGATATTTATGTGATGCATTAGATGATATACATAAGAAAGATTTAATCCATTGTGATCTACATAGTGGTAATATATTAGTAAATGGAGGTAATTGTTATATTACAGATTTGGGATTATGTGGGCCAGTTGATGAAGAGTCATTAAATAAAATCCATGGAATTATACCATATGTTGCACCTGAGCTACTTAGAGGAAAAATTAATACAAAGAGCACAAAAGAAACTGATATCTATAGTGTTGGGATGTTAATGTGGGAAATATTTGCAGGACATCCACCATTTGATGATAGAGCTCACAACCATCGTTTGATTTTTGATATATGTGCAGAAGGTTTACAACCACCAATATTACCTGAAATACCTGATGATTATGTGCAAATGATGCAGAGGTGTTGGGATGTGGATCCATCAAAAAGACCAACTAGTAGTGACCTGTTTAATTTTGCTAAAAATAAAAGTAACGAAATTTTTAAAAACAAAAGTTTGAAAAATAATAGTAGCAATAATAGTTTAATAAAAAAAGTATTCAAAATTTCTAAAATTAAGGAATCGCATCCAAATGCATATCGTGCAAGTAGAATCTTAGATGATGAGATTGCTAAATCTAAAAACTTAAAAGTTTATACAAGTAATGATAGTTTGTTAGATACTCTTGATTGTGGTCCTTCTCTCTTAAACATTGAAGGTGAATAAAAATTCCATTATTAATCAATTGGAAATTATTATCCATTATGTAACAATCCTCAAATAATATGTCATTTAATTTTTGGTAAGAGGAATTCATATTATTTTTTTATTGTTTAATTTAAGTTACTTGGCAATCGGGATTTTTGGTGAAGAATTATACATATTATTATTATTATTATCATTATTAT